GGGGGGGGGGGGGGGGGGGGGGGGGGGGGGGACCTCTTCAGCTTCTCTCTGACGTGCCCTGGCTGTCCTGGCTGTCCTGGTGGTTGTTGTTGCACAGGCGACGTTGACGTCAGGGAAGACCGGGGAGGGGGATTGGGGCTTGCCGAATCACATGTGCCTGTTGTGTCGTAATGCGGCTTTTGCCAACGCGGGGGACATAAAGCTTGACCGTCCGGCCCGCGTCTTGTCCTTTTCTTGAGTCCCAATTTCTCTCTAAACTCTCATGAGAAAGTGCTCGCGTGCCTCATGTCCTCTTTGGGAGGCAGAACTGAAGAGTGGCAGCAAGGCAAAGAGGGGGACGAGGCGTTGTGAGTGCTGGGATGGCTTGATGGCTGCATCTTGCTTTGCAAATCTGATATGCACGTCGCTTGGCGGCCCCAACCTGCAGCTGCGCCACACGCACCAATCAGATGCTCAGGATCCCCCACGTGTGTCCAACGACTGGACCCTGACAGAACTTGGAGAGAGAAATCTTGGAGACACTTCAGAACGCTAAAACCAAAGACTCCACTAAAGTTAGTGCGAAAGTGGATGGGCATGGATGGCCTCATGCTGGCTGTCCATCGACTCCATCCATCGGAGTATCAGCATCAGCATCAGCATCAGCTCCCTACCTGAGCCTACCCTCGCTCCGCTCCCTCCGTATTCTTTTACCGACTCTTCTACATGATTACGGACGCTGACATCACATCCCTCGCCGGTTATCCGGTACAGTTCAGAGTTCAGACTCTGTCAGCCACAGTCGTCGTTTCAGATGTAAAGAGGCATCATCTCTCTACGAGAAAGCATCTTCAATCTGAGAACATGCCTCTATCCCGTCCTGTAATTGAACATCGCCTTGGCATCAGTGATGTAGGTGGTTGCTGTCTATGTAATTATGATAGGGAGACAGTTCGAAGTGTAGGTACCGGTACTCTCACGTTGGTAATTCTCCATGTACGGCAACCCTGCTGGATGCGCAGTCTGGTCATCACCAAGGCGGAGACCACTGCTACCTTTCTCCGCCTTTCAATGTGGATGTGAATGCGCCGGAGCTTTTCTACGCAAGTGACGATGGCCGATTCTTGCCTCTCCCGAACACCGACCGCCTGTGGGAAACGGCCCGTCCGCTTTTTTCTACTGCTGAAAGCGGCAAGACATAACGTGCTGTCAGGCCATTGGCCTGGCAGTCCAGCGGAGGTTGCGGCGCCCACACGACGTCGCAGAACCAGACATTGGCTCACGGGAATGCCTAAGTACTGCATAGTATTGCCTCGGGTCAACTTGCGGGTGGCTGTACACTTGTTACGAGTGCCTCTTTCGCCCACCTAAAAACTCAACGCGGCTGTCGTCGGCGATTTGATTTGACTACCACCAGTAGAAACGGATGTGAGTACGGCCCAGATAGAATGCCTTCTCTTCGCCACAAACCTGGCATTGCATGCGTTTCACGACAGCAAACGAGTATCTTCTCGTCGTGCCGATTGGTTCTCCAAACAAATTCACTTAAGCACATGATTTCAGTATCTTGCAAGTGCCGGATCAGTAGCGTCAATCAAATGAAGTGAACGACATTTCACAGGAAATAATTATGACAAGTTTTAACCAATCCAATTTCATTGCCGTTATATTTTTTTTTGGTGTTCTCACTCTTTGCCATCCATTCTCTGAATGCATACAGGTACATACGTACAGGACCGCTTCCATTCTCTCTCTCTTTTCTCCCTGAGCCAATTAACAAGGGCGTCACTATCAAGCATATATCCGGAATCGAAGGGGGTGTGTGTTGTGAATAAGGGAAGAAAGAAAGGACCGTAGGAGTGGCACTGGGCGCTTCTGCCTCTTTGCTCAACCGTGGTAATCAACCATGTGTGACAAGAAAAAAGAAAAAATGTTGACGTTGTAGTAGTCGTAGCAGTAGTAGTCTTTTTGCGCCTCTCAGGGGGCCAGACGTCGAAACACCCCAGTCTCCTTAGATGCAAGCAAACAAATAGGCCCTCCCCTGTTTTCATTGCTCCTAGCTGCCACCTCGATCCGGGCCAAATGCTGGGCGATGTGATTGATGCCTCAACTCTCCATTGCCCATGTAACGCCGTTGCTCACATTGCAGATAACCCTTGCCCTGACAGTCACAGACAGAGAAGAAGACAACCAGACCAGAAAGGAAAAAATATATGCAGTCTGTATCAGACTATGTTCCACTAAACGCCGCGCTTGAGCCGTGATGAAATGACAACAAAAGTGTAAGGAAATGTGTTCATGGTTCTGTGGATGGCCAGCTCAACTGAGCCATTGATAGGTATGTGTCCACCTTTAGGTTGGGGACAGGTTATTTGTCGTCTTGGTTCAGATCATTCTAGACATAGAATATTCGGGAGGGACTACTGTCTTGTCAGGCGGTCGAGGGGTGGGCTGCTCGTCGTCATTCTCTTCGACACCCAACTGCTTGCTCCCTGATGTGGTTGGTGGCCGCGGTGTCTCATCAACACCAACAATTGTCTCTGCGCTCTCCTCAGGGTTCGGCGGTGTATGAATGACGGTGGTGTCGCCATCATCCGCTTCGTCTAGGCTTTGTATGATTGGAGCAGGGCTCAGAGCTAGACCACCTGCGTGCAGATCGGCAGGTGCCAGAACATCTGGGGTACTCGAGGGAAACTGCATCTCTACCTCTCTGTTGGGCGTTGTGACAACTCGAGTCCCATGTTCTGTGCTCGTGGCTTCGGATGCCGCGACGTTCACGCTGTCGTGGCTATTTGCTCGCATCATTTCGATTCCAAGCTTGGAAGAGGGAAGAACCGATTTGCTGCGGAAATGCTGCTTCGCATGGTTGAGATTGTGCGAAGTATTGCCCGCGCCAGGAACAGTGCTGGCACGTTCGGCACCACCACTAAGACCCAGTTCCTCATCCTCATCGTCTGCAGAGTCTATGCTGCCCTCTATTCTCTTCTTTTCAATGGCTTCACGTTTGGCTCTGAGTTTCTCTAGTGAGCGTCGTGGGATGGGGACAGGTGTCGGCCCGACCATTTTGCCAGGATTGAAGTCAATCTGTCCTGGAGCGCTCTGTTGAGTAATGAGCTGGGGAAGAGGTTTGCCTGGGTCGCTGGAGCTTAAGAGAATCTCGTCTTGGGGGATACCAATGCCCAAACCGCCGTTGTCATCCCAATCACCGGTAGCCTTACGACTTATGACAACAGGAATGTCATCAGTGGAGACGGACTCTGAATCTCCAAAAAGACTTGATGAAATAGAGTCTTCACGACTGGATCCCCGGAACGAGGAGCTTCCAGGCCGATGGGCAAATCCAGAGGAAGCCGCGCTGGTTGGGCTATCCTCAAACCTCATACTCTCCTGCCGCAAACCAGAGGGTATAGGATGAGCGAGCGAGAGTGATACGGAGTTGTGCTGACTTGGCGAAGATGGCTTCCATTGGCAAAGGTTGCCCAGCACTTCCGTCAGCTTGGACGAGCTTATTGGCTTTTCGACGAGAGAGTCAAAGTAGTGAGGTGCTTGAAGCTCCTTCAAGTAAGCGGTAATGGCGACAATAGGCGTGTGCGAGTTGGCATTCTTGGTTTCGCGAATCATTCGGGCCACATCGGCGCCGTTTATCTGAGGTAGCTTGAACTCCATGAAGATGATGTCAAATTTAATGTCACTCATCGAGTATCTGACAGCCTCAGAGCCAGTCGATGCAGATATGGTTCGGCAGCGAAGCTTCTCTAGTAGCTTCTCCATGACCATTCGCGAAACTGGGTGGTCTTCGCAGATCAGCACATCAAGCGGACGGAACATTGGGCCATCAAGAGCAATCTGGGACATTCGCCTTGAACTCTGGCGGCGACGTTGAACCCTAAGCAAGGCCGCATTCGCCTTATCTCCCTCGTTATCTGACGATGACGGCGACATGTCAAAAACTTGACTGCGCCGATTTCGATGATGCACGAGTAGGTCGGGAGCCACTGGGCTGCCCTCTTGGGACCCGACTGTCAAAGATCGGGAGCGGCTCGTGGAGTTGCTTGCCTGGCGAGGCGTCGACACAGCTTTTTGAGGAGAGAGCGGCAGCGGCGATGGTGCACCTCGGCCCTTGACAGGTGAGGCGGCGACCGTTGTGGCCGCCTTCTGCAGGCTAGGCGGGACACGGGGCACGTCGAAGAAATTGCCTGGTTGAAGTGAGCTCCCAGACTGCTGAGACAGACTAGAAGAATTGCTAGAAGCCTTACGTCTTCCTTCAGCACCTTGCCCAGCGACAAATGATACCAGAAGAGGCGAAGATGGCTGTGAGACACGACTGGGCGACGAGTTGGCGTGGCTCAGTCCCGAAGGGGACTGAGGCCGTTGCGAAGCTTTAGCGTTCGAAAGCGTTCTCTGGACAGGCATCGAGAGGACTGGGCTGCCTTCGAGTGTAGGACCTGGCGAAGTGACCTGGTTCATGCCGCCAGGACTAATGGCTGTTGCTTTATTCTGTGTGGCAAGAGCCTCGGCTCGGAGCTTTTGAATAACGTCCTTATTCGCCTTTTCTAACACAGGTAAGTTCTTGAAGGCAAAGTTGCCAAAGTCGTCAGCGACGACTGGCTCGCTAAGCCTTCTGCTCTTCAGATCCCGCACATGGGGAGGAATGTGAAGCGGCATCAAGCCGCGCTTGATCGAGTTGACCTGTGAGCGGACGCGAGACAGGGCATCGTGCGGGCGGTCTGGATAGTCAGACACTGGCACTGAAGGGGGAGAAGCTTGATCTTCCATCTCCTCGGCGAATGATTGGAGAGTAGCTCCACGAGTGTCAAAGTATTCGGTGTCCTCGGGATTCTCGGGCTGCGGCACAAATTGAGCCTCATCTTCCAAAAGCGACTCCCAATTCATCCCCTGGAACCAAGGGTGATTTCGAATCTCTTCACCGCCAGATGAGAACTTCTCATCGCGATTGGAGCCAAAGCGTTGCTGCGGATCCATGCACAGAAGTTTGTTGATCAAATCCTTTGCTTCAGGCGAGACCTCATCTTCGGAATCATCCGGCCAATGGATTCGTCTTGCCAGAATATTCTCGAAGACCTGCTCGGCTTCACTGGCATGGAAAGGCGGAATGCCGTATAAGAATTCGTACATGATACATCCAACAGACCACCAATCACTAGTTTCATCTTGAGGTTCACCCCTAATAGTTTCTGGGGCTAAATAGTCTGGGGTGCCAACGAAGCGACGGTTCGTATCTTCTGGGTCGAAAAGGGCCCAATTAGGGGGTGGCATGTTCGCCTGTGGCGGTGTACCCTTGCTCTGTTCCGTGCTTCCTTGCGTATTTGTGTGATGTAGAGATCCCATATCTGGCGAAGGACTGCCCTCCTCGCTCCCATGTGGGGATTGGATAGCTTGGGCTGGCGGCGGAGGGTCGTTCAAAGAGAAATTCCCAAGCATTTGAGTCAACGCCTCACTGCCTCCACTGTCACTGCGGTGACCGGAAACACGCCGAGTATCCTGATGAACAAGGCCAAGACTGAAGTAGGAAGGCTGGCCAAAGCTCGAGCCCATATCACTGGGCGTCATCTGGGGCGTTGACCCAGGGGAGTGATGGCTGGCATGGAGATCGAGGGAAGTAGACCGTGAAGACCCGATTGAGGCTGACCGGGCAAACGGACCGGTCTTGAGCAGGTCCGGCACAGGCTCGTTGGTGCCACTATTGAGAGCTCGCTTCTGACGTCCGACCAAACCCATTCTTGACAGACCGAAGTCAGTAAGCTTCAAGTGTCCCTTCTGATCGATGAGCAAGTTGTCCGGCTTCAAGTCTCGATGGACAATACCGCGGCTATGGAGATGTTCCACACCGAGAATGACTTCACCGAGATATTTCTTGACCCAATCTTCCGGAAGCCCACCGAGAACTTTGATTAACGATGCACAGTCACCACCGTTGAGATACTCCATAACCAGATACAGGTAGTCTTTGCTGGAGAAAGTCCAGTACAGTTTGGCGACGAAGTCGCTCTCTCCTTGCCACATCATGATAGCTCGTTCTGCTTTGACATTGGTAACCTGATTCTTTGCCACCATGTCCGCTTTCTTCAAGACTTTAATAGCGAAATACTCTCCCGTAGATTTCTTTTTCGACAGATATACGCTGCCGAAAGCTCCCTTGCTGATTGGTTTGATAACTTCAAAGTCCTTAATCGAAGGAGGCACCGCACGAGCCAGTGGCTGTGCAGTGACAGCGTTTAGCCGAGGTGAGGTCGGACCATGTCTCAGGCCATAATCTCCAGTTGACAGCGAGATGGCTGCTGAAGACTGCCTTCTATGGTGATGATGGTGTTGGTGGTGATGGTGCACGGCGGCAGGGGAGCCAAACTCGCTGTTCGGGAGCATTGGCGATGCTTCGGGCGAGACCACAGCTTCTTGACTGGCTGGAAAAGGAAGGCCTCGAGGTTTCTGGATGCGTAGAGGTGACGAGGGTTGAGCCGTCCTGGACGGGGACTCTTGACGCCGAGGAGACACGGCACCCGGTAGAATTAGACTCTTTCTGTGATGAGAACGAGAGCTGGCTTGGCGGCGAAGATCTCCAAATTCTGAAATTGGCGAATCCGTCCTTGGTGGCGGACGAGATGTGACGGATGAGGATCTTAGACTTCCGTCGCTGTCTCCCGCATCACTCTCGAATAGAAGAGATTCCCGGCGAGACTCTCGCGCGCTTTGTCCTGTAGTGCTAAGGACGCTGCTCATAGCACCAGCGTGAGATCTTGGGGTTGGGCATTCCTTCGGGCTACTTGACTGTGTAGACCCGATTGCGGCAGAGAGGCGACGCTTATCTGGATCGTCACTGATGTTTGCCTTCTCCAACGCCATTGCCAGAGACGACGGTGTGTCAAAAGACCCGGTGAAGAAAGGCTGTTCTTGAGCCGGAGTGGCTTCTTCCTCGTCTTCGACATCGTCGCTTTCCGACCCAGTTGAATCACTCAATTGTCCCGCTGCGATCCGAGCTGCCTTTCGCATAGCAGCATCGATGCAGTCCTGAACTCGGATGGCGAACTCGACTCGGATTCTCTCGGCGTACTCGATGACTTTCCGATGACGGGAAACAGCATCGACTTTGGCTTTGGCAACTCGCTCAGTATCGGCGCATAGAACAGCAAGTCCCTGCTCCTGTTCCAGCGTATTCGTGCTAGGTGACTGCCACTGCATTACCTGCGAAATGCGAGATTCTGATTGCGGTGACTGGGTGCGGAACTCGCCGGGGTTCTGAGACGACGATTCCTTGATAGCCGGGGTACTGATCTCGATGGCTGTGTCGCAAAGATCCAAGAGCAACTCGACGATTCTAGCCTGTGGTCTTCGAACCGCAAATGACCGAGCCCTCGAGTGTCCTAGTCCTCCTGACCTGTCGCCAGACCTGCCACTAGTCGGAAGGGGCGAACCAGTGCCGGGGGAAGATGCGGTCGAAGTTGGACCGATTGGCATGCCTTTGTACTCAGCCACAGGAAGAATAGGCTGGTCGCCCGATATTGATCTGCTCTTTCGAGCCTCGAGAGCATCGAGGACCTTGACAATCGCGTGGCGATGTTCTGTTAGGTTTTCTTGTGCCATCTGGACCTCCATTTCTGCTTGATGTTCCTGCAGACAGAGGTCGGTATGCTTCTCAAACCACCATGGCGGTATCTGACGCTCGCAGATGCGACAGAGGACAGGAAGCGGAGGGGCATGATTTGCGGGATCATCAACTCCTGATTCAGCGAGCTGCGTAAGGTAGCTGGCGAGTACTTCCGCACCAGATCCGAGGGAGTCGACAATTTCGGAATTCAAGTCGATTTGGACCTCTCGGGGAGCCACCCAGGGCCGAATCATCCACATTGTCTTCAAGCAATCAGTTAGCATGTCTACGCGTCAATGTTACAATATCCTAGAAGTTTTTACTTACGTGACTTTCTCCGCCGGAAGCACCATCGTAGACCATGATTCCCTGCGCCTCCAGGTCTACGACTTGAGATTCTATCTCGGCTTCCGGCTCTTTGATGGTTTCAAAATTCAGGAGCTTTGAAAGAGGGCCTAGCTTGACAGAGAAGCGGATAAACTGGCTCCTGGAGTCATCTTTCTGCATCGACTCAACCACATCCGTAAAAATAGTGGTTGGCTCGCTGACGACTATGTCGGCGATGGCGGTGCCCTGGACGGTGTCTGAAGGTGTGCCCAGGACGTCCACCCAGGACGGGCTGACCCATCGGATGGTTCCGTCGAGGTTGAGGTCGACAATGACGTTCAGAGTTTGTTCTGCGGCTTCTCGAAGCTCTTCGCGTTCCTCCCGTATGTCCTCGCTGAGCGACCGCTCCATCACGCCGGCTGTCTGGGCACGCAGCGAGAGGACGGCCGGCGGGGCCAGCCTATTGGGGTCTTGATCCATTGTCGGTCGGTGTCAGGCAACAGAGCCAATTGGGACGGTTGCATCGGGGTGTCAGCAAGAAGGGGCCTCCTTCCAATCTCCCAGTTGTGGTGCGGACGATCGACTATGAGCGAGGGTTGGAGCGTTGAGTAGGGGTGCAAACGCGTATGCCGTTGCAGGGCGCGCATGGGCGGGAGGGCAGGTGAGGCGAGTCTCACTGTTGCCCGGCTCGAATTGCAGCTTGGCTGTGGACGGTCGGTCTATCTGTTTGTCTGTTGGGCAGGCGAGGTGAGCGAAGCTTCGGTATGGGCTATGGCAGCGAGGCCAGGCCAGGGCCAGGAATTATCTGGCGAGACTGCCAGGGCTACGCAAAGAAGCTCGCGATGTTGAGAGACATAGCGGTACTTGGCGTCGATGTCTCTGTGTTGGCGGAGGGCTGTGGAAAGAGCGCAGCGTCCGCCGTCACGCTCACAATCGCAGTGCCTGAGATTGAGGTTGAGGTGGAGATTGAGACTGTCGTGGACGTTTGTGTTTTCGTGGATTAGGGAGGGCAGGAAACGGAGGGCCGTTCGACACGCCTCGGAGGAAGAGGAACGAACGAACGAACGAACAATTCGAGGGGGGCAGCAGACGAAGCCGCTTGTGGCTGCTGCCGCTCCACTTTGCGTGGCTGCTCCAGGTGGACGGTCCGACAAAGCTGGCACGGCACTGGCACTGGCGTGCTGACGTCCGTCCGATAAGAGGAAGGCAGAGCTTTAATTAACAATCCAGACGAGAGAGACGACAGACGAGAGACAAGAGACAAGGTGAGGTCGTCGTGATCAACTCCTCCTACCAGGCGGTAAAAACAAGACAAGGAGCTGTGGTGTAGACAGGCCTGTTTTTCTTTTCTGGTCGCAGTGCCCTCTGAAGCACGGGGAAAGTTTATTGTGGAGACGGCCGGACGGTGCCTGTGTATTTGGAGGGAGGGGGGAGGGTGGAGGGGGGCTTTACTGGCTCACTGGCTGGTGTTGCTGGTGTTGCTGGTGTGTTGGAGGCGACTTCAGGACTGGAGCCGGCCCTGGGAACGGGACTTGACAGGGCTACAGAGTCCAGACACGCTACAACTTGGAAAAGAGCCGGGGTCGACTAGGAATGGCCCCATCGAAACGCAGCGGTTTTCTTGCAAGAGGGATGGGGCCGTGGAGGGAAAGTGGATGGATGCTCCAGCACCAAACCAAACAACGCACTACGTAGGTACCGGTAGTACAGAGTACTGGCATCACTGCGTAGCTGTACCTTTATCGATACTCTACCTTGGAATTACTTGGCGGATGGGTGAAGAAGAGGAGAAGAGGAGGAGGAGAGGAGAAGAGGGATGGATGATTGAACGAATGGGAGGGAGGGCGGAGACGATGCCGCGGGCGAGTCTCCCACAGTACAGTATAGTATAGTACAGTACAGTAGTCGTCACCAGGCTAAGGTAAGATGTAAGGCAATGCACCGCATACCATGCGGGTGGCTTCAAGGTTTCTATATCCATCCATCCATGCATCCATCCATGCATTCATCCACCCATTGCATTACAAACACAGACAAGCAGATGAGGAGGGTGGCAGGCAGTGAGTGCTCTAAGGTTTTACTTATTAGTTATTGTGTTGATAATTACGTTGATAAGGGCATCTGGTTTGCGGTATGAGTTCTGAAGGCTCGTGAAAGTGAAGAGAGAAAGCGACGGCAATCAACTCTCTCAACCGCGTTTCTAGAGAGAGCACCCTCCTCGAAAGCCCACACTAAACGAATAGACTCGCAGAATTCAACAGCTACATTAGATAGACACTTAACTAGGTAGCACTATTTTCATCTCTGACAAATAAGAACCAAAGCTGGTGTACATCGAGACTCCCTGGTATGCTCACTCACACTCACTCTCACTCTCACTCTCCCTCAGACAGCCATTGCCTGTGAACGGAAGAACCCTGGATCCATCCAGGCCGTCGGAGAAGAGAGAGTTGTGTGTGCGTGTGTGTTCGCGTGTCGTTCATTTGGAGCCGACTGATCGATGGGACGAGTGAACTTACCTAGGTAGTAATTAGTGAAGGGGTGAAGGGGTGATGGTGATGGGTTATGTATGGGTGGGGCATCTTGGAGCGGGGGAATCCTCTCTCTTCGCCAATCACAACCACCTCATCTAGGATGGACCTGGTATATAATACCTTTGCTTACGGAGTCTATTGTGAGTCAGACGATGTATTATTTACCTACCCTGGACTGTTTACTCAAGTACTCAGCTGTTACTGGCAGACTGGACTGAACTCAGGTGGACTGGACTTCTGGTCCGGCTCGACTTGCTTGCAAGATCCCAACCCTGGAAACACCCTCTCCTCCTCGCCTACCTAACCCCCATGACCTCTCAGCGTCAGCACTGCAGCTTGGTGGCCTCCATTAGTCATTGCTTTTTTCTGTTCTTGTTATTTCTGTTGCTGAACTGCATATTATCTGTTTCCAGAATAGATCTATAAAGCGGCAGATCCGGGAAGGGAAGAAGCAATAATAGCCAGAGAAAAGCTGGATCGCCGTCTACTTCAACGTACGTGCCATTAGTAGCCTCTCGGGAAAAGATCGCGACTATCTGCATTGGATACCCTCGATCCAGTGTTGATCCTGCCTCCATGTACCAGACAGCTTGCCTTGCTCGACTCAATATAGTCATGTCTCGCTTATATCCAGTCACTTTTGCCGTGTCAATACTTTCCACCATGCCCGCATTAGAGTTGTGGGAATGAGTAGCTAGCTGTTACAGATCTACACTTCTGAAGAGATCGATTAGCTGATCTACACCTGAACGTGACCTCGCGCCGTCTCCAGCCTAACGCATTTTGTTTCTCTCCTGTCGATGATCTCCCGTTTTCCATTCTTTCCCCTCCATACCAGTCCAGCCCCCGTGTGCCCCATGCCATTGCCATGCCGTTGCTGCAACTCTGTCTCTGAACTTCACTTGACTTCATCCAGTCCCGTCCTCTTTACAATCACTACTGTACGAGTAATAAACCCCTCAACCACCCGCAACAAAGCGCATGTCTCACTAGACCTTGACGGGAGGCATCACGTGGACGTGATCTGGCGTTGTTGGCGTTGAGGTGGAAACCCCGTGCGGCGTTCCATACATTGGTCAAGCCACTTGTTGGCTGATTGCGAGTCAAAAGCACCAGACGTGCATGAGCTCGTAACACAAGATGCTACCTCCCTACCTGAGGCCGAGCTGGCCTTACTTGGCCTTGTCGCAGTACACGGTTGATGTCCCCAGACATGCAGCACCCGCGCGCGGACTTGGAGTGAGACGAATGGGAGATAACCTCCTCTGATTGCAAAGCCATTGCGGGTGGGTTTTATCCTTTTTGCTCGGCGCCGCCTCCGGAGCTGGGCCCTTCGCCCGTGTCTGCATGTCTTGTCTTGATCTTTGATCTGGTCCTGTCTTGTCTCTTTCGAAGAACAGGTGCGATGCCGTCGACAATCTCGATGAAGACGCAATGCCTAAGATAAGGTGGAGGGTCGGTCGAGGATAGGTAGGGAGGTTGAGGTAGGTTAGGTAAGCGCATGTCAGGGAGGTGACCTCACCACCACCACCACCTTTTCACCACTTTCCACCATCTCGATGCGTTGTCTTAGCATCGCAGACGGTGAGGTCGGCAGCAGACTCCCGCAGGAGCTTCATCAGCACCAGCACCAGCACCAGCGTCAGCGTGCATGCTGCCAGTGAGATGTCTACCCTGTCTGTCAGCACAGTACTAAGGGCACTGCTGCTGCTACCGCGACTCATTGCCTGCCACTACTACAACTATACAAGGTGATATCTGACCCCTCACTCACCCTCCTTCAGCAGGCGACTCAGCCCGTGAAGGCCTACGCCCGGCAGACTCCAATTCGCTCCAACTCCCCATCCTGCAGCATCCTGCATCGGGATGCGAGGGAGGCCCAGTCAATCCGGTGCCAATTGGTAAGTAGCTCGCCCGGGACTTCTGCACCTAGCTTCCTAAATGCAGACGCTTGGAAAACGGGGATCTCGTGCCAATGCGCTCGGAGCAGTAGTTCAGCATGGCGTCGTGTCGTCTTATGACGGCGATGGTGGGGTGGCCGTTGCCCTTTCGGTCTCGGTTCCATCAACGGTACCGGTATTCTCTCTTCACTTTTCCCAAGTCGCTTGTTTACATTGCATGCATCCTCCGCCCAAGTTGCCACCTGGAGTCCCTTGACCGCTCGAAAGGGTACGGTTTACATTGCATGGCCCAAGCCGTTTTGAATCTGTGTAGGGTTGCATCCACCTCCTTGGTAGCTCTGAGTAGGTTGGATGGCATATCCAAGTTTCTGACTTCGAATGCGGTGGCTTGGAGTGGATGGGCATTGGCGGCCGATGTCTCCGACTGACTCGACTCGCCCGGATCCCACAGAGCAGCCCTAGACGTGCCCGACTCACCGGCTCATCAAGACCCCTTACCCCCATTAGATGAAAGCATATTGCTCGTGCATACGCTCAGCAACCTGCATACGAGTCTCTCAGATGACGACCCAACCCGTCGCTGCACGATGATTTCGGATGTGCCTCACCTGGCGGCGACTCCCGACAGATTGAGACGAGGAAGGATCTGCCCTTTCACGAGGCAAAGAATACGACCACGGCATGAACAGATTCAAGGGCGACGAGCAGAGCATCTGCAGTGGAGTTCACAACCGAGTGCAACAGCACACTGCCGGTTCAGCTGGGTGACCGGGTGTTCCGCACAGCGTCCGCCCAGTCCCAGGGACAGCTTCCACGAGACGTCCCGCATGATGCGGTTTGCTCAACGATCCATTGGGTGCGCCGTCCAATGACAGGCAGTCATCACGTCCATTGAAGCACGGCGCTGCTAACTAATGCTTGCGACGTGCATTTCTTACCCCGTGAAGACCTGCCGCTCCTCGCAGATCAGCAGCCAATAGGCCAGAGGCTCTCATCCCAGCTCTGCCGTCAAGTCCAGCGGCATCCATGCCGTGATAGGCGATAGATGCCGTTGTGAATCCGTCCCATTTCCATGGCTGTGGTGGCCATCACGCAAGGGGGATCACCAATGTATTGCCTCTGTCGCGTATTTCCAACGAGGTCATCGGCGTGGCAAGCAAGCAAGGACAGGGCAATTATTCCGGCACACCGATCGAACATCCGCGGAAATTTTCCATGAAGGATCAATCTTCATTTCTGTTTACTTTATCACTGGCAATAGCAGTCCCGCCATAGCAGCAACATACCAGAGCGGTGAGGATGACCGTCCCACCGACTCATAACTGCACGGCTGTCAACTCGAATGGTGATGGCCTCACTATCATACCATTGACATCTTGCCAACTCACTCTCAATTCATAGCCGTTTACCCGTCTTCTCCTCACCATAACTCAGGACACCACATCTAATGCCCAGAATAGCCCCTTCCAAGCCACCTACCGATCTCGACTCCAGGCTGATGATGTGCTGCTCTGAAAGCATTACTAGCTCAATGCTGAGTAACACTCCAACATAAAGCCATCTACGGAGTCCGATTTGCGCTATGGATATGTTTCACTTTGATGTTAAACGTGGGGTTACGTCCAACGGTCTCACATCATCCATCATATTTCACTATCTACGCATCACTAGCTCAGATGCAGCTAAAGCCTCTCGCACCCTCCAAGCAATGCATTCCATCACAACACCAGTGTGATTTCTCTCCACACCCTCAATCACTTGGCAGGCACACGTGATGGCCGCCGTCCGGGGAAAGCTCGCAGCCGGGATTGTGGGGAGATTGCCCTACTATTGTGATAGATCGAGATCCAGAGTCCGTGATGGCGATATTTCGCCTGCATTCAAGTGATTTGCGCCGAGCCCCAAGAGGTGGTCCACCACCTGGTCAAGAGACAGATCGTGTTTCCGGAATCATGTACATAGTCTAATTATCGCACCACACAAGCCGAAGTCGGTCGACTGCACCGTGTTTATCCGGCTGAAGTACGACAGGCCGGCTGAACGGTGATACTGGGAAGGATCAGGACTGATGCCACTGCCGAGGAAGCTTCGACGTGCTCGTGTGATACCACCGCTTTATTCCTCGCTGCTGAATTTTGTCCGAGCCGTCATCGTCGACAGCGCAACACAGCATACGCCACTCAGGGTCCTTGCTCCTGACTGCCGAACACGAGCAGAGTCACGTTGGTACGACGCGACGAGAGAACCCCATCCGGAGCCGCAGCTCCTCTCATCAGCCACAGTAGCTACAAATGATCTGCCGATGCGCTGAAGCTGACAGATAGGGCATGCTTGGATGTTGGCGTCAAGACGGCATCTAGAGTGCAGGAGAAATAATCGCGTTTTGGAACGAGCGACATCAGCCGTGTCTTCAGGCAAAAGGGGCTCGACTACCAGACTCACACAACACCTGCAACGGGATCGTCACGTGGGATCATTCAAGCTTGAATATCCACGCTTTAGCAATTACTCAGATAACTGTATGCATTTATGAAATGTCCGATTATGCAACCTGCTATGCTTGATAGGTGATACCCAGGGTAAAATTGTAAATGATGACCACAAAAGTCAACTAAAAACTTGACCGTCATACTATGGCCTCAATATTATTTGACCCCTTTTTCCTTCCCACTCCATTCAACTCGCTTTTGCTCTAGCCACTGCCCCTTCTCCAACCACCGCGCCTCAATCCAGCTCGCCAGCTCGGCATCCTCACGCGGCAACGTATCCATTGCGAAGCGGCGCACGTGGACCTCGAAGCGGTAGCCCTCGACGTCGCTGAGATGAGGCACGCTGAGCGTCGACCAGAACTCCGGAGCGGCGCCGAACTTGTCACCATGCTGGTATACAATCGTCAGATCGTACACTGCCTTGACATGCGGCGCCTGCCGCAGGTGCTGCACGGTCTGGATAAAGCCCCTAGTCCGTGGGTAGAGCAGGTGTTGCGGTTGCGGACGGCCGGTTGAGTCGCACCATGCCACCGACTCTGCGTACTTCTTCGGCGTGAAGCGTGTTCCCTCGGAGAAGGACACAAGCCCTGGAGAGAGTCAGGTTCATGGCGGGTTCCAATCATCGTGCCTCACGTGTTATATAGTGACGTACAAGTGCGCCAGCGCGTCTTGACTATGCCTTCAAAAACTCGGCCTAGTTCCCTCTTGTCTTGTTGCCCTACTCTGGAATAAGCATATATGTGGAAATACGGTTATCTATGGGACTGAAGCGAAGCCGGGAAGCTCTGGCTGCTCATGCTCATTCCAACCTGTGGCCATAGCTTGGAAACCCAGCCGAGTAGATACACGTACAGTTTCTTGTGACCATGGGCATACCCGCCGCGATCATGCCCCATCCCAGCAAAGGGACCTTCTTCAACTGTGCCTTGGCAAAGTAGCGTGTACCGCCGAGCATGCCGGCCTTGATCGCACATGCTTGAATCATGTAGAAGTCCGACCATCCCACATGGTTGCAGAGGACGACTGCCGACTCATCTGGCACTAGAGGATCGCCAGAGATAGTGATGTGTGCTCCGTTGACCGATGTGAAAAACCACTGGATCATAATCCAGCATGAGTAGACGATCGGACATGCAAGATTGTAGGCCAAGCTCGGGTTGAAGGGTTTGATGAGCAGCAGCAGTGAGAGTAAAAGGTCCTGGAAGAACAGCAATATTACCCATGGTGTCACTATGAGGATACCACGGATGTGCGTGAAGATGTTGCCGGCCATTTTGTGGATTTTCCCCCGCGTTCACGGATGCCAACCGGGTCTTAGTCCGGGTCTTGGTTCGGTGCTTGGCCGGAGGTTAGTGACGGGATTGAGCCGAGATTAGCTCAGACGGGTGACACTAAGACGTAGGGGCTCGCGCAAAGGAGTCTCCAAAGCAAACAGTATTTGGCAGGTAAGCATGAGAGGATGAGGCAAAGGCTTGGTTGGGCATCAAGACTTGTCCAGTCGGTTCTCTCAGTCCACAGACCCCCAGCCTCTCGCAATCGGGGTGGTATCCGTTTCAGGCCGGCGGTCAGATTTATGCCGTGTTGTAGGGATAGCGAACGGCTGGCACCTGCGTGGATTGGCAGACCAGATTTGAGAACCTGAAGTGCATGTCACAGAAGCACTTGCTTCTTCAATTCTCCGATTGTTTCTGGATTTGAGAATCGCACCTTTCCGGGTCGGAGGACGTGGAAATGGCTGGAGATCGGCGGCGGCGCGAAGTGTCTGCAATCGGGTTTACACGCGTGGAGAGCACGACTCGTCAGTAATTGCAAAGGGTATACACTCTATTACAAGTGTATGAGATATATCAAATATTAGAAGGCTGAAGAGCCAAAGGATGCAAGAAGAAGCATGGCCAACGTGCTATACCAGAGTCCATGCCGTCATCCATTTCCCTACGTGCGTGCCGATGTGGAGCAGCACAGGCGCCTGGTCCGAGGAAGAGAAGCCGCACCATGTCAATCATGGTTTAGAACCGGTGAAGTGAGCCGATGCGACGAAGGCAAGACACGTCCTCGCTCCCCTCTCCCGGATCTTACGTGATACGGACCGCAGAAGCAGCGTTAGCTTCCGTTCGAAACAATAAACATTACAGGCAACTTTTTGCGCAGATTCTGTCTGTCTATCTGTAGATCGGAAAGAGTTCTGTGCCATTTTTGGCCGTTTCTCAGAATGGTGAAGATGCCGAACCGAATAAAGAGTGCTGACTAGTGGAGGTGAAATGCTTAAATTTAGGCTTGCAGCCAGCTAATCAGCCCTAAAATTACCAGGGGATGTAGGGCAAATTTCCTTCCGGTGGCTTTCCAGGGGTTCATCATTCGATTGAAGAAAAGGCCGCCATTTCGATGGGAACAGTGTAAACGTCTGCTTTTGGCGCCGTACGTGATGATGACTTTTGGTTCCTGTTCATGTTCAATGACTAAGTTAGGGATATCGATATAAGACTACTGAATAACAGAGAGTCGAAAGTCGAAACCTCACGAGCAACGAGATCAGAGTCTTTGTAGCCGGATGTCAAATTTCTCGACGGAGCGATTGAGTGCTTATATTGGGCTGCCGAAAGAGGCATCTCGCAAAGACGGCGTTTGGAGCCACTAACACGATCGTCAGTGTCCACTCTCCTGCGCCCAAGATGACCTTGCGCTGACTAAGGGCAGCTTCTGCTGGGGACTTATAGCTTTGACGATGCCAGGCCCTGGGAGGCGTCTGCAAGGAAACCGACCTATGAGAGATCGAGAAGACGATCTCAATGAAGATGGCTCTCGTGTTGCCTCCTCTCCAGTAGCGGACAGCAAGCACATGTTCAGGCTAGGTGCGTCCCGGTCCCACTCTGCATCTTGCTGGACCCGAAGCTTCAACTGCATGTCTATGTCTTTGAATAGAAGTGATCTCGGGGCGTATCGACGGGCACGTCCAGGGTAGGAAATTGTCTCCGTACGTAAGCAGTGAGCCTTCAAGGAGAGAGAGTGGTCGTGTGGAGTAAGTGTGGGCGTTGATCCATCATGAGAATGTCTACTTTGCACAACGGTTGGGCCATTCTATCCGTCTGATATCTGATGTCTGATGTCTGATGTCTGAGGTCGGCCGTGGCGCCTTCTCCATCAAGCCCTACGAGGAAACAAGCCCCCTGGTCCCAGCATGTTGGCACCAACTCTGCATTAGTCTTTGGCCAGGGAGGTAAGAAGGAAGTGGTTTGTCCAAAGTGAAAGTGCTTAATAACCCAAGACATTCCCTTCTTCCTCTTGCCTCTGTGAATCATCTTCAAGTCCTGGAAGCTCGACACTGGATCCTGTTATCAATTGAGCTCGGTATAGAGCCACTCCCAACTTATCTTAAGCTTAATTGTTAGCTCTGAGTATTTCAATCAGGAGCCGGCTATCCCGAAATAGGCGGCCGGCTACTTTGAGGCACGAACTTGCCCCCAAACTCAAATTGGCGGGAGAGATACATTGCGCGGGGGTTGCTGCTACGAGTCGACAGCTATTCCAAATCCTCGAGGCGGTGCAGAATATAGCTTCATCCGCCTGCCCTCTCTGCCAATTGACTCGGCCACAACGCGTTACGCATAGCAGACAAGAGGTATCAGTGACTAGACGGCTCTGTCTCCGGCAAGAAAAGCCACTGATTCGCCATTTTCACGTCGAGGGGAGACCTCAGACGTCGCTGGGGATAGAAACAGTTTCACAATTCTGCACAGCATCAAACCCGAAATCTCTCGGCACCAGGCCCTCTTTCTCGGGGCTCATATCATATCCCAGGCATTCATTCTCATTCTGTAGGGCTGCCAGCCGATTCACAGCACGGACGGGGTTTCTACGACGCCACCCCCCTGCATTTGCCTCGACTCGACTCGACTCGACTCGACTTACACGCTGCTCAGACTTGAGCTTACCCACCTGAGCTACCTACGTAGCACACCCCGCCAGACCACGCCAGGCCTGGGCGGAGGGTCGTTTCGTAGGCCTCCCCGCCAGGAGCACGCCCTCCACGGAACAAGAACGTGCGACTCCGGTGCTGGGCTGGTGCTGGTGCTGGTAGAAAGATCCCGCCTCCTCCGGCCACACCCAAATTCCACTGTGCATCATCATCATCATCATCATCAGCTCAAGCCGCGCAAGGCGAGAGGGTTCTGGTTCTGCGCATAACACAGACAAAACAGACAGAGACGACGGCAACCCATCGACGAGAACCTGCCGTTGCATCTGCTTCTTCTTGAGCTGCTGCAATTGCAAATTCTATCGTGGGAGTAGCGCCTGGGTCTGTGGTGATCATCTCGAAACTGTCACTCCCCACCACCGCCGGCACGGGCATATGCCAGTGATCGATCTGAAGCATCGCATCACCGTCAACTGCCCGGGATAGAGGGAGAGTCGCCAGATAGAGAGAGGGATCACCTCGTGTCAATTGTGTCAATATCTGCCCATCTTATTGCGTCCTGCTCTTCTTCCATTGCTTCTTTTCCCGCCTTTAGGTATGCTTGTCATCTCATTCACTCATTCGTCCTATACGATGCCTCCGCCCATCCACCCCCATCCGTCGCTCTTCAGATCTGTTACTCGTACCCATGCGTGCTTCATACGCACATCCCGCGTCTGATCCGTCCTCCTCTCTGCTTCCCCGACCAAACCTTCTCTCCAGCCTATTTGAAGGCGCCCTGTCCCGTTTCCCCCCAGGTTTCCGTTTCTCGTCATGTCCAAAACGACGACGATTGCCGCTTGTCTTGCCGACGAGCTCGCAGCGGAACTACCCTGTCTTTCTCTCACAAACCACTCTTCACAAACATCTCGCAAGAGGCTCAAGGTGCGCAAGAGAAGAAAAGCAAGATGGCTGACCTAGGATCCATAGCCGCATATCCCTCCCCTCCGGACCGCTACTCCCCGCCGCCCCAGAACCCCTCCATCTCGTCGCTCTACGAGCGCGCCGCCATGGCCTCGTCCGTGTCGCCCAGCGTCGGGTCCTCCGGCGCATACGCTGGGAACGCCTCAGCCGGCGGAGCGGACAAGAGTCCGCTGTCGTCGATGAACCTCGGCTTCCTCAAGTCGCTCAACGACAAGAGGACGACGAGGGACGGCAACCCGCCGAAGCGCAGAGGACCCAAGCCGGACAGCAAGCCGGCTCTGACCAGGCGACAGGAACTCAACCGGCAGGCACAACGGTATGTTTGTCATCTTCTGTACCCAGCTTGCCTTCTTGTGTGGGACATAGTTACTGACTGGGCTGTGTCTGTGTAGCACGCACCGCGAGCGCAAAGAACTCTACATCAAGGCCCTCGAAGACGAGGTCCTGCGCCTGAAGGAGATCTACTCCAACATCAGCCAGGACAAGGAGCGGCTCGCCGAGGAGAACCGGCAGCTCAAGGCCCTGCTCGCGCAGAACGGCATGTCCATGTCCAGCACCGTGCTCGGCGGCTCGTCCATCCTCGACGACAGCATCAGCAACCCGGCCTCGGTCGGGTACAACAGCTCCGCGTCCGTCTCGGGCACCCACTCGTACGGCGGCGGCGCCAACGCTGCCTCCAGCCACACCAGCGCGTACACCTCGCCTGGTGCGATGCAGGGCATGTCGCCGGGAGGGATGAGCCAGGGACAGCACAGCCGCGGACATGGCCACAGCCACTCGCAGATGGCCGGGCAGCACGCCGGCGGCGGCAGCGCTCCGGGCCCGCAGCGGAATCCAGGTGTGGATTATGATCAGGCGGGAATTGATTTCGTCTTAACGTACGAAGACCCCTCGAAGGCTTACATGTCCCCTCCCCACCAATGATCACGCATATGCACACTTTTGCCATGTTGTTTCCACACCTGAAAAGTTCGTTCTCATCCAGATGCAAAACTGGAAAGGTGGAGAGTGGCGCAGGAGGTCGTGCACTGGCTCACCCATTGGGAGGATCGGGAAATGGCAATTGGATAGGAGTGCTTGATTGATAGGGACATGTGCTAACCTAGCGATCCGTAAAGTCTCGAGAAACCCTGCATGGACCACCTGCCGTGGCTGCTCGAAAGAGGCACCGAGACAGGAGGCGCCGAGCCCTGTGGCCACGCCCTGATGGCCAGCTGTCCCCCGGAGCCGTTCCCTGAGCTGACGACCGACATCCCCTTCGGCTACGGCAACGTCAAGAGCGGCGATCTCGACAGCGGCCAGCGCACGTGGGAGCTCAGCAAGGCCGACCTGACCACCCTGCTCGACCTGAGCAAGCGCCTCAACCTCGACGGCGAGATCACCCCCGTCATGGCATGGGGCATGGTGCTGGCCCACCCCCGGCTAGGAGAGCTGACGACCGCCGACTTTGTGAGGCTGACGGAGGAGCTCGGAAGTAAGATGCGGTGTTACGGGTACGTGAATGTCCTCCATGGCCGTGATTGCAAGTGTCTAATATCGATTCAGATTTGGTGCCGTGATGGAGGAGTTTGAAGTGCGGGACGCACTCGAGAACGTTTTGTCCACTAAGTCCGAACCGCTATCAGCTATGGCTTATTGAGTATACCTATGTGCTAGTTGGCTTTTGCGGTTGCATGATTTATATCCAATGGAAATCAATGTTGGCGGGTTGACGAGATTCAGTTTCCGGCGCTGGGATACAGGACGGGCAAAATGTCTATGATGAGATAGAGACATATCCGTTTAGGAATGAATTACTGCTTTACTGTGACTGCTATCCCCGAACAATGTTCTGAACACTCTAGCTCTTTCGACGCCGTTCCACTACACATGGGTTTCGGACCTAAAGAGTCTAACTGCCTGCATCTATGGCCAACTATTACAGACGTTGAGGGCCGGGGCCGCGCAGTCTATGTCCGACGGAGGAGGGTTGCGCAATCCCGATGTACGTCCATGCAGTACAGCCACACCACAGGGCTGTACGTAACGAATCAGCACCAAAGACATTTACAAAGCTTCCTTCTCTGGGCACTGATTATGTGATGCAATCCCTGCGCCAGAGCTGACCTGGATGCATTTGTCAGTCATCGTGGTCAGATAGAAATCGTTTTGCGACTGCAAAACAACAAACGCTTTAAAATGAGCCTCCCCGTAAGCGAGGGACGTGTAGGGTCTCGACTTTCTTGTGCCAACAGATGCACGATGTACGATATTTCGCTGCTGCTTGGCTTGGCCGTATCGTAAGCTCTATTCAGGGCCAACCCTCATCAAAAACATGTCATCCGTAACCTTTGGCTCAGTGGGAGACATCATATCAGTTAGTCTCCTAGTCAAGGATCTAGTTTTGGCTCTGGATGAAACTCGAGGTTCTGCGCCAGAATACCAGGCCATCACACGTGAACTGCTGTTTCTCGACCAGGCCTTGTTACAGGTTGAAGAACTCGGGCGGACGACGCGCTGTGCGACACCAGAAGTCCAGGCGCTCTATGGGACGGCAAAATGCACAGTCGACAAATGCAGAGAGACCATTCAGAATTTCCGCAAACGTATCGACAAGTTCAGTCGGTACTTTGGTCCCAACGGTAGCGGCAACTGCATGAAGGACGCGACCAAGAAGATTCAATGGAAGCTGTGTAGCAAAGAACAGGAGATCACCAAGTTCCGGGCCGAGTTAACAGGGTACACCGAGTCTCTCAAGCTTCTCCTTGTCACAGTGAGCCTGTATGTGACGCCTAACTTTGGAAAACGACCTCTGCTAACCGCCCGCCGGTCTCATAGTAAGACACTGGATATCAGTCACGACAAGTCCAGCGACATGCTAGGTATCAATCTAAAAAGCACAGAAGAATGCATCAAAACTTGCAAGGACGGCCTGGAGGAAGTTCGGCAAAGAATTAAAGAAAATAGACGAGAGATCTGTAAGGGAAACAGCATCGGACGACGTCTCGGAGATCGTGTACAATGGATCAGCAGTCTATGCAGCGATCTCAAGCAGCTCCTCTGCTGCGTCGTCAAGGGAAACTGTGCAGTCTACGAGGAACTTCTAGCGTTGAAAACCATATTCGCATCCAGGCCTCTACCATCCATGACTGAAGAGTTATTCTTCTTCGAAGATGCTTGCGGGGCAATCATGCCTATCCCGCTATCCCTAGTCAATTCGTGGTGTGTCTTTCAGGCAGTCCTCGAAAGCCGCTTTCAGGGGCGACCTGGCCTGTCGAAGATCCGACGAAAGGAGTACAGGTTACATGAAGAAGGAACCAAACGACACATTGATACTACCGATGATATACGGCAATCGGTCCTACCCGGAACGAAGATACTCCAAGAGGTTGTATTCTATCAGAACCAATCCATCTGGCATGATGACCAAAAGAGTATTTGTCCGTGCTGCCAGAACATCCTCGAAAGTTCTTGCGCAATTTCGACTCAATGGTATGGCAAGCTCCGAAATGTAACAGTACTGTGCTAAAGTTGGTCATAGTTGCAAATGCAAGCGATATTTGCGTCGAGAGAAGCAAGTCGCGAAACTGTGTCCCCCTATCAGGCAAACGAAATCTCAAGAATCTGATCATCACAAGAGAAAAAGAGATGACGAAGGTTTCCAAACCATCTCACGTGCGGAGGTCAACCTGTTCCTATATTTCAGACGCATCTGTATCATCTCCTCCTCGGAATATGGTGAAGAGAGGACAAAGGTGTCAACAAACGTCACCCCTGAGACCGCAAGCCAACCTGACCGGATAAAAACTTCTGATCACCCACTTCCATCTGACCTCGACGGTCAAGACAATTCTATTCCATTACCAGATCTATTTTTCACTTCGGATGCAGGTGATGGTCTCTCGTGGAGCAAATTAGGCACTGACCTGGAGCTCTCTTCGCCGTCTCTTTCTAAATTTAACGACCCAGAAGTTGAACCACGTTTAAGATCTCTCACGGTGAACACAATTTGGTACGTATTGACTGCCATAAAGATGGGTATATGACTGACAGCCACAAAGGGAACGGTTGCAGTCCATACCCCGGGTACAGGGCGGCGATTTCGATCTCGACGCTCTCTGCTCCGATTTACAGAAGAAGGCACGAATATCCCGCTCTTGGCGCAGTAATCAAAGCCGATGACTTGGAGGCCGTCATGAGATACTATGTTTCCTAAGATTGATTGTCTGCTCTCTAGCATACGATACTTGGTGCTCAGAAACCATTTTACATGAGAAGAGTAATGATTACTTCGCAGGATCGCAAATATGGCTTTTAGAATTTTGACATAATTTCTGTTTTCGGCCTGCCGGGTTGCGGATTTCTTCAAAAGATTTGGCTTAGATGGCGGCGTTTGAACTCCTGGCGGCAGAGTTGGCTGGCTTACCTTGATACCCAGAGTGACAGGCATGTCCTCTTCAAATAGTAGAAATTTAATATACGACCAATCCACTCTTCTTGCTATCACCTTTCAATACAAGCTTCTATTTCTCCTCAACTTCTTACAGCGAGGTCGAAACTGAAAAGGGGAGAGCGTGTCAATTAATGGCTGTCACGTGATCTCGTGTACCACTACTCGCGTGTCGCCCGAACGGACGTCACGACTTTTGTCGAGTGGAGTCGTCTTTGTCAAGAATTTCCGAGTCATCGCGTCTAGAAAGCCCGCCATCTCCCGGTAGCTTGGTTGAACCAGTACTTCAGGCGGCGGATTCAACCTTCGCTTCTGCTCACCCGATTGCCACACCCTGACAACTCCTCGCTTTCCACCAGCTGATGTCTGCAAAGGCATCTCCATCGCCATCATGGGCGCCTCCAAAGTAACCAAGACACCGTCGAAAGCCGCGACCAAGGTCAAGACGCCTGCAAAACGAAATGGCGTCCCCAACAAGAGCATTTTAACCTTCTTTCAGAAGGTCGATCGGCCGGATGATCCTATGTTTCTGACTGGCGGCCAGCCAGCATCAATCGCAAATATCGAAGACGAAGACATATACGGAAATGACGATGAGCCGAAGCTGGAAGAACGGTTTAATGAATCACAGGGGTCCGTGAAGAGGAGGAAACTGAGTGACGCGGAAGACAAGGAGAACGATATTCTATCGTCGAGCTTCAGCAAGCATCCAATCGAGAAAAGTCCGCCACCAACTACTACGAAGCCAGCCCCGCCGAAGAAGCGACGAGGAGGATTCCTTGATGATTCGGACTCGGAATCTGATGACGGCTCTCCTAATATTACACCATTGCAAGACATGAAAGACACCTCGTCTAAAGATGACAAGATATGGCCGACAGCATTAAAGCCCGCAGTTGTGGAAAAGGTTTCGTCATCCGGCCCGATCATCCCCAAACTCAAGCATGAAGAATCTACCAATGGCGACTTTGGGGAATTCGGAGACTTGGAAGATTTTAATGATGAGGCATTCGAGGGTGAGGAGTTTCGGGAGATGCGATTCATGAAAGAGCAGGCTCGCCTCGAGGCTGAAGAGGCAGGTAACTACAGCTGTGACGATGGATTTGAGACATTGATGGACGACGATAACATGGCCCCAAGCTGCCCAATATGCGGCGGGAGTCTCGACGGAGTTTCGTCTGATCAAGCAACAGTACATGTCAATTCATGTCTCGACGGCAACCCGACTCCACTCCCCAAGTCAAGTAAGCCACCACCGACAGCAGAATCGCCAACGCCCGTAAAACATGAGACGGTATCCGGCTCCGAAGTAGGCAAACGATTCGCCCGCGCTGCTGTTGCTCGACCCGGTCAAGCAAACCCCATTAGTATTGGCGGTTCCGGTCCAACGAAGAACGAGTCTGGATCGGCGTTCTCCAAATTGATGTCTGGCCACGCCGAGGACAACGCTTGGGCCACTGCTGCTGCCGCTGAACATGCAGCCCGTGGAAAGCCCGCATATCAACGGACATGCCCGTTTTACAAGATAATGCCAGGCTTCTTCATCTGCGTCGATGCCTTCAGATATGGTGCTGTGGAGGGCTGCCGGGCCTACTTCCTCAGCCACTTTCACAGTGATCACTATGTTGGTCTTACATCTCACTGGACCCATGGACCTATCTACTGTAGCAAGGTCACCGGCAGTCTAGTGAAGTCTCAGCTTAAAGTTGCCGAGCAGTATGTGATAGAGCTTGAGTTCGAGAAGAAGGTACCGATCCCTGGAACAGAGGGCGTGACTGTCACCATGATACCTGCAAATCATTGCCCCGGCAGCTCACTCTTCCTATTCGAGAAGCTCACTGGAAATCAAAATCCCAATGCGAACTCTAAGGAGAAACGAATGCAGAGAATTCTACACTGCGGCGATTTTCGCGCATGTCCAGCACACGTAGAGCACCCGCAACTGAAGGCGGAGACAATGGACGCATTAGGGAAGGTCAAGCAACAGAAGATTGATGTTTGCTACCTCGACACCACATATCTGAACCCGCGGTACTCATTCCCACCGCAAGACGATGTCATCAACTCTTCTGCGCAGCTCTGTTCGGATCTGGACAAGAGTTTGAGAACTGATGACGAGTCCGAGTGGAACAGAGTCCTCAGGCGTCGTGAGGGCGGCGGTGCGGCAGGCAATGACACTGTCAGTCGGTTCTTCGCAGCAACTGACAGGGCCAACGAAAAGGACGGCAATGGCAAGCCCGAAATACCTCCAAATGCTCTGTCGATACTTGGACAGCCGAACCCTAAGAATCGCAATCGCCTTCTTGTCGTCTGCGGGACTTACTCCATTGGCAAGGAACGGATTTGCAAGGCCATCGCCTTGGCCCTGAAGACGAAGATTTTCGCCTCGGCAGCCAAGATCCGCATTTGCCAGCAGCTCGGCGACCCTGAGCTTTCAGCGTTGATGACTTCGAACCCGACCGAGGCCCAAGTACACATGCAGATGCTGATGGAGATCCGGGCCGAGACGCTCGCCGAGTACTTAGAGTCGTACCGCCCACACTTCGGGCGCATTGTCGGCTTCCGCCCATCCGGATGGAATTACCGGCCTACGATGGCGAACAATGGTGGCAATGGCGGCGGCAAGGGGGTCGCGGCAGCTGCAGTGAATGCCAACATGCCGCCCAGTAGCATGCCGACCACACAGCTGCTACACGGTCCTGCCTGGCGCACTCGATTCGGTGTGAAAGACTTGATCCCGCAGAGGGGCAGCACAAAGGACGCCATGTGTTTTGGAGTGCCTTATAGCGAACATAGCAGTTTCAGAGAACTAGCGCTGTTCGTAATGAGTCTCCGTATCGAGAAGGTCGTACCTACAGTCAACGTTGGCAGCGAACCATCACGGAGGCGGATGAAGGGATGGACAGATCGCTGGCTATCAGAGCGGAGGAAGGGCGGCGTCACGAGAGTTCTCATAGGTAGTGAGGAAGAGGATGCTGCCGAAGACAAGAAGCAGCCCTCTTTGTGGGACGGCAAAGATGGTCGAGGTGGTGCAGTGTATTGGTAGTCAAAGCGCCTCTTGTACAATGAACTGTAGCATCTAAGATATCAGAATTCAATATGCAAAGAATCATGATTCCAAAGACGGGTCCTTTGGTTGAAGAGCACCAAACTCCATGTTTTGATTCTCTGATCTAGGGTATTTCCTGTCAAAATTTTGCCTAGCCCATACGTAACCCAGCCCTCTAAAAGAGTACCACACACGTAATCCATGTCTCAGGATGTCAAGATGCAAGGCTATGTTCCTCGCAAATTTCTTTCAAATTCCCCGCTCATGCAGTCATGATCTTCACTGCCTCGTTTTGTAAGGCGAACTTGATCTTCGTGTGAGCACGATATCCCGTTTCCGTCAGCTACCATACCAACTGCTCGTCTGCCCACCGCTCATTTCGCCTTGCTAGCTTGGTTTGCAGCCTCTATGGGGTATGTCAGCAGTGCTCCGTTTTCTCTCCTGTTCGATGCCGATGTTGCTCACCTCTCCGTGTGGCATCTTCTAATAGCGGGATGTCGACTGCACTCGCTGGTAGATGGACATATCTCACAACGCTTCCTCGGATGAAGACATTCTTGACGGCGCTCTGGATGGACAAGAAACAATGGTCAGCACACGCATTCACCTGTCAAGATGGGACCCCAATCCAGTCGCTCTCGGCCTTGAGAGCCATCATCACTCCCCGCAGCCGTTCCGCGCAGACACGGCACTTCATCACATGCAAGCAACAGTGCTCCTTCACGTCTCTCCCAAGATGATGGCAAACAAACCGAGATGACGAAGGGCGCCAGGACAGGGCCGGCGGTGGGCACGCGGCCGTCGCGCACGGCGAAGAGGCTTCCTACCAGGTGCGGGTACTGGAGCTCGTCGACGACGCTGATGTCGTCCAGCTTGATGTTGAGGTACTGGTCGACGCTCTTGAGCGTGCCGCGGATGCGGATATCGTTCTTGAGCTCGACCGTCACCTCATGGTCGATGAGCGTCTTGAAAAAGCTGTGGGCAGAGTCAGCAGGTATCTACGAGGTTTCAGCATGTGAGAGGCCGTTGTGTGTGCTGTCTTCTGGTCGACTTGTCGGCAGTAATGATGGTCTGTGGAAGAGGGAGCCGATGAGACCCTCAACTCAACAGGTCTTCAATAGGTCCTTAACACTAAACAACAGGCGTGACCAAGGTTACGATACAACGCTGTATTGAACGACATGCTCGTGTAGTCTCTCATACGCACTTGCGTTTATGGCATCGCTCAAATTTCCCTCCCTCCAGAAGAGTCGAAAATGACAACTGATGCAAAGCAAACTTACCTGAAGAAAAGCATGTTGTCTCGTTAGGGTCGAAGGTGTGAAGAAAGAAAAAGCCGGGGATCGCGACTAGTTTGCCGCCTCAATTATTGTGAATGCCTTAATCGCATCGACGCAGGCTGTATTAGGGGAGAGCTTGTCGTGTCTGGCGTCCTCAATGAGATGCTCACTGTGTTGCTGTCTGTGGGTGCCGTGGGCGAATGAACTTGAGTTTTGGACGGATGAGGTTGCTGGTGGGGCTTCTCAATCCCTTGGTGCCTTAAACATGAGGCACCGGTATCGTACCGCTTTAGGTAATCCAGCACCAGAATTATCTGAATGAAGGCCCTCTTCGTTACGGTAAGATATGTAGACTGCATCCAACATGCCAAATCTACTCACTAGTCAAATTTCATGGCAGTGTGTATATTCAGTATTAAACAAGAGGCCCACTTGGCTGGTCTAACTGCGTGTATTTAGGAGCCAAGTCATGTCATCACAGGTTACAGAATGATCTTGCTTTTTAATCACAGCGGGACAAAGAGACAAGAGGTTCAGTATCATTATCTTCGATTGGAGGGGTGTCAAGTAAAGTACTATAAGTCAAATGAATCCATCAACCCAAGACAATTATCCGGCGACGGATTTCATCATCCATGGAGAGTCTATCTGTCCAACCTAAAAAAGCCAACACATTGGTACTAGAGTATATAGGGGGGTGGGCCCAAGATATATCTTCTTGGGCCTCGTCTTGTGACAATTTCTTTTGTGCTTTTCTCTTTCTTTTCAGTCTTGATCTCGTGAACATTGAACAAAAGTAAGGGGGTTTGCGTATTTCCTCGGGGAAACGATCGACTCAGCCCATCACATCTCTCTCCACCTTGTTGCTTGGTAGCCAGACCAAAAATATCCCACCACATCACCAAGAAAAGGAGGGCTCTCCGATTCAAAGTAGAGACAAGAAGTGAAGAAAAAGGCACCAGAAGCACAAACGCATCGCGAAGAGAAATTTCAGAAAAGTGGGAAAGTAAGCAAAATATAAAAAGGGTATGAGGGGTATCCTTCAGCTGTTATTCTTTCGTGATGATGTCATCCATGCAGTCTTCCCTTTCCTATGCCCTTTCCCATCCGTTCCTAGAGATGAAGAAAGTCCTGCCGTCAAATGGTCCGGTTGCCCGATCCGTTCCGTCCGAGTTCCAATCCGTCGCTATGCTGATTGTTGCTTGCTGTGACGAGAACTAGGAAAAGTGCGCCCGGATGTCGAGCAGGTGCAAAGGAAATTCGTTGGTACAAAACGAGTGACCTGTGCCCTTGATGCAAAATATGAAAACCCACCCTGGACAAATAAAATCACCAAAACAAACTCGCTGCCGGCCGAGAATATTGTTGCTCATTCTGAGAAGAAAATTAAAGGCGGCAGAACTCAGTCGCCAACCCCGCTACTCCTCACCCAAATTCCGGGCTGTCGACACCAAAAGTCTGGGGCTAATGGTGCACAGGGTTACTAGGTGGCCAGAACTCTTCCTGTACTGTCGTGACTTCGTGAACATGAACAAAGTAAATAATGGATTTGGTACGGCGGTCATGCCTGGACGGATGACTAAATGTCAGTCCGCTCAACTGTCGTCCTCGGCATCATCGTCATCTTCCTCCTCTGGGCTCTCCGTGTCCGGCTTGGCCTTTTTATTGGGGGCCGAGCTGGTGCCCTCGGACTTTCGCTTTGTGCCTTTCGACGCGATTAACTCTGCGATCTCTTTCTCGTCACCACCAGCAGCCTTGGTTCGCTCGATTTCAGCAACCTCATCAGCTGTTAAGAATCGGCCACCTGGGCCTCGGGGTCGCCGCATGGCGTGGTTGTGCCGCGATTCGTGAAGATACGGCTTTCGACCCTTGGAGGTCAGTCGCAAGGCTTCTTCGAGGCGTTGCCGCGCAACTCTCCTCTTCAAAATGCGGTGAAATTGCTTCGCGTTGACGTATAATGGAGACTCTTCGACGGCGCCCGAAGGCATCTCAGGGGACTGTGGATGCTGCATTTGCGCAGGCGGCATCGATGGCGGAGCAACGCCCGGCCGGCCGACGTGGTTCATCATGGCGGGGTTTGGAACGCCCGGGCTGGTGACCTGACTGAGCCGGCGCTGAGGCATGCTATTCATCTGTTGTGGGGATCTGGGGCCGCGTGAATCCTTCTTAGAATTCACGCCGCCCATTCTCGGAGAGCTTTGGGTCATGCTGGGGTCTGAAGACATGCCGTATGGGTAGGTTGAGCCAGATGCGGCCGCGGTCGCTGCCATGGCCGCAGCCTGGATCTGAGGCATGCCGTACTGTTGCATGCCGTGCTGAGGCACGCCATACTGGGCTTGATACATGTTGTGGCCTTGGTTTGGGGCGCCTTGTTGTTGTTGGGATGGTAGAATAGGTGAGGTTTGGACTCCACCGTGCTGAATGTGCTGGCTTTGGGGAGAGGTAATGCTATTGCCGGCTGCCGAGTTCGGGTAGCCGGTCGCAATATGGGGTTGTTGATGGGTACTCTGCGGGTGTTGCTGATATTGTGCGTACTCCATCATTCTCGGGGACGGTTCAGGAAGAGTCGCGTCGGGAGTTCGCGAGGCAGAATCTCAAAGGATTTTGTCGCGAATCAGCCGACTAGAAACAGTTTGCTATGCTCACAAGAAAGCCACTACAGTGAGGCTCTAAGTCGGGGAAGTCGAGGCACAGATGCGATCAAGGGTCGTATGATATGCAGTCTGCTTGTCCGGCGCGCTCTTGGTTGAGAGCAGTCAAGGCCTGGTGTTTAAAGAAAGCACTGCGATCTTCGGTGACAGTTGGGCACGGCGCCTGGGAGTGGTCGGTGTCGTCACTTGGGTACCCGTGGAGTGTGTTGAGTGTACACACCCCAATCTATTGGTTATGCGTGGATGCGCTGGCAGGTCTCAAGCTGGGAAGGGAGCTGCGCAATTGGCCGCACGGCGGCACCTGCAAGTTGATGTAGTCGCGGGGCGGACAAGTGCCTAGTCCGAGAGGAAAAGGCGGGATGGACGAGAAAGCCACGTGAGGGGAAAGCCTGAAGGCCTTGGTCGATGACAACAACCTGACTGAGTTTGCCGACGATTGAGGCTCGATCTGCGTACCGGAACGGAAGCAGCCTTGTCACGATCTCTGCGGGCCGTAGCGAGAGAGAGCTTTGGCGAAACAGCGTTAGGGATCTGATTCCCCAGAAAAACAAAGAGGTCCTGTCGTTTTAGGGCCTGGTTTCTTTTGGATTTATGAAATCTATCCAACCAAAAGCATTAGTCTGCTGCAATACGGTATATAAGCTGGAGTCGGGGCGATTGACGAGGGAGCCCCTCGAGGTGGGCCGTTTTGATTTTCGCGCCTTGGACGACCACTTGATGCGCTGGCATGCATGACGGAATATGCACGAGCCAGGCCCCACCCTGTCCCAGCCAGCTCAGTGGCACTTCCACTTCCAGCCTTGGTGGCGGCGCAGGTTGGGCGACGGCGCAGGGAAAAAATAGAAATCATCGGGCTGGACAGACAGACAGACCCCCAGACATGTACCCGGCCTACGGCTCACTGTGCGCTGCCGCTGCATTGCGCTGAGAAGATAGAGCCATGCATGCCAGCTGCACTGCAGCTATCCCAGATGCCTGACTGCTCTCCTCAGCGCAGTTCGAGGCTGCAGCTTGATGGTTGGCCATTAAGACACACGCAGAGCAAAGTGACGGAGCTGGTGACAGGTGCAGTGCAGGGTCGAGTGCATCTGTTACAAGATGACGCGCGGATACAGAGACCGGGAGGGGTTGCACCTTTCTCTCTCTCTCTCTGTGTGAACTGCCCTGGTGGGACCACTTCGCCTCCTGCCGCCTAAGGGCCGCCCTAGCAGTGACAGACGGAATAGGCGATGGTGGATGTGCGCGCGCGCAGGAAGAATAAGAAAAATTCGAGCATACAGCCAAAACATGGAACACCAAACAGGGCCAAAGAAACGTGAGAGACAACAGGTACTAGGCTACTCGATTCAGACATACACCCGAGCTCTCGGGTGATGGTGTGTACGAGGTGAGGGGTTTTGTGGTGGGGGATGGGTTACAGGCGGAGGTACGGTAAACCCTCGAGGGTAAGAGGGAAGCTCAGGATAGTGAAAATTGTCTACGTACCGTTGTGAGGTCTCACAGGTAGCGCGCGCAGGAAGATCGCTAGACACGATGGCACACCGATCAGCGCGGAGGAAGTCCTGCTATAAATGTAGGAGCTGTGAGGTGTGTTAGCCACAGGGCCGCGCGGTTTCAGACAAACAAAGGGGGCCCATAATACTGCAGAGGAGGAATAACAGCTGCATGCGGTCGGCATCGCCAGACGAGGTGGTGAGCGCCAACAGGGCAGGGAGTGTGAGGATTATGACATGGGATATAAGAAGTGCAGATACAGTGGAAGGTGGTGGGATAGCCAGCTGCTGTATTTGGCTGACGGTTGGTGTGCTGCAGGCGGGAGGACTAGAGGCGCCTAAAGAGCGGGAGGGTTGGGGAGCAGTAAGAGTAGTAGTAATAGAAGCAGGTGCAACAGCAGTGAGATCTGCCCAGATACACGACAGTTAAAAAAGGGTCACTTACATGGACGGACTGGGCCGGGATTGCGACGGGCAGGCTGCTTGAGGCTGCCGCGGCTGGGTTTCGAAAAGACTCGAGGATCGCAACGTCTAAACAAGCAGCGCACTTGATTGCTCGACGTCGTGGCTTTGGCAAATTGTCCTCCGCAGGCAGTTATAATCACGGGACTGGGGAAGGGGCCAATGGCGACGGCGAAGGTGAAGCTGGCGATGATGATAGGTCTCCGGACCCGTGGTGGTTTCGTTGATTCGAGGTGTCGCAACGTTGTGAAGCCGAGCGCTGATTTGCTGGCCGACAATGGACTTTTCTAAGGTTGCGCGCTGGGCCGTTGACTGGCTAGACACCCAGGCTGGAAGTGGATGCTGCAAAGGACCGGCGCGACAGTGGTGTCGTTTCGACAGTCAGCGGGGATTGCGCTGAGTAGGGCCTTGATATTGACCAAGATGACGGCACTCCTGGATTACTGGCTGGCAGTCGGTATTCCTGGCGCTGGGGTTAGTACGACTCTTTTTCTCTCTGGCCATGAACGGGGTTTTTGTGTGCGAGCTGGGGCTGGTGCTATGCTAATACTTATGCGCCGGCCGACTCTACGAGGCGGCAGCGCAGCAGGGTGGGAAGAAAAAGACGGGAAAGGTAGGGCAGGGGTAAAAAGGCAGGACGTCACACGTGTTGTAGGATGAGATCGTCCGCTCCCCCCCGTAATAGAAGTCATGGAAAAGCAGGGCTGGGACATGGAAGACGTGTTCTAAGGTAGGGCAGGGGAGGCAGGCAACCGCCGTGTTGGCTCGCAGCTGACAGAAACAGCCCATGCGCGGAAAATACAGCCAGACGGTGCAGGACAGTGGAGTGAAGTGAAGTAGGATGTTTAGGGTTCGCACGTACCTAAAAGGAGATGTGACTGCAGCCTGTACCGTAGTGGTGATGTCTGCGTTAAGACAGCCTCCAGCGGTCTAAGACGAGGTGACTTGATGGTTGGATTGGGAGTTTGCTTTGCCTCGTGGAAGGTTTTGCTTGTGATTGGAGACCCGTGTGTGTGGAATCCAATGACGGGCGGCGCGGGGTGAAGAGCAGCGCGAGCGCAAAGGCGGGCTGGACTGGAGGAAAAGAGCGCAACAACACTTCAAGCCGAGTCGAGTCGAGTCGAACCGAATCGAGTCGCGCGTTCTGCTATCCACTAACTAATAAGGTAGATAGACTCGAGAGAGAGAGAGATGACGCTGAGCTTGTGCGGCCGGCTCGGGTCGATAAATTGAAGAAGGGACGGCGCACAACAGGATAGGCCAGGACCAGGCTGAGCTGGATCTGTTTCAAGCTGCTGCTAGGTAGGCGTAGGCGTAAGCCCAGAGTAGGTTGGTCCTGCAGGTACGTAGTGGAATGTTGCTTGGGGCGCGCGCACCAAAGAGTCAGGTAGACCTCAAGCGAGAATAGGGTTTCTGGTGTCCTGATTGGAGTCGCTGAAGAGGACGGACGCGCAGAAAAGGCGATGATTTGACGGGAATTTTGGGCTTGCTTCTTCCAATCGAGACAAGAACTCAGGTTGGTTTGTGGACCTGACCTGGGCTGGCTCGGCTGGCTCCTGGGACCTCGAGGCTGCTTGGACGCTCTGGTCGCAGTGATTGGGCGTGGGCGTGGGCAGAGAGGTCGAGAGGGGATTGATTGGTTGTGTGAGGGGGAGAAAAAGAGAAGAACGCGAGGTGATTCGAGGGAGGAAGCCTGGGAGAGGGATTGGATGTGGATTGGGGGGGGACCGCAGGCTTCTTAACTCTCTTGTGGTCTGTGACTGGCTGATTCAGCGGGGCAAGGTGGGTCTGTCGCGCTATTCCTGTTTCGCGTCTCTCTTCCTCTTTTCCCTGTGTGTGTGTGGCCTGTTACCCTCGGATGTTGAGAGAGATGTGCGTATGTGTGTGTGTGTGAGTGCTTTCTTTCCTTCTTTCTCTTGCTACTCCTCTTCTCTCGTACTTTGCCCTGGAACGGCTTGGTGGGATTCGGCACGTCTTAGTCACCCCTCCTCAAACTCCCAGCAGAGAAGGTGCGCTGCTCCGTCCGGCGTTTTCCCTGTACGTGTCTACCTTACTACCGTACCTTGAGTACTGTGTGTGTATGTAGTGTGTACTGTATGTGGATAATGGAGTGGGTGGGTGGGTGAGTGGAGACGGACGGATACCAGAAGCTGGGAAAGAGCGAGCAAGAACACCCGCAAAAAGTTGAAGAGAACCTTATTAGGCACTGCAACGAGGCGGGCACGCACCGTACCGAAACTGTACGAGTGAAGAGGTACGGTAGGTACGGTAGGTACGGTAGCAAGGGTAGGTAGGTGCCAATGCAGTTCAATAGGTGAGCAGCCACACCTCGCTCACACAGTGCAGCAAAGTGCAAAAAGCAAGCTCAATACCCTCCACAGTAAGCAGTCAGGCAAGAATAGGGCAGGGCAGGGCAAGAACAAGATGCCACGCCTCGCCTCCTCTGTCGCTCCTGCCTTTGTTGGTGCCACTTCCGCGTTCTCTGTGGTGGCTGGTAGGCTGGCTGGTGCCGTAAGTGTCTATTGGGAGGGGTTGGGCATAAGGCCGTACCTAGGTGACAGACTTACATTACAGTACACAGTGACTCGAAGTGCTTCTTCCGAAGTCTGCGTTCCTGCTAACGAATTGAGGTCAAGACTTACAACACCAACAGCGCAAATCGAGGGTGTGAACTGACCGATAAAGGTAAAGAAATCCCTCCATATTTGTTTGGCTTTTCCCGCCGTCTCTCTTGTCTCT